TGTATTTTTACTTAGAAATTATGTAAATTTATCTATCAGGAAAAAATTATTTTTATCTTATATACATGTATAATTCATTAGATCGACATTAAAACATATAATACTATGTAATAATGTGAAATTCATAATCTGTTTTCGTGCAAATATATAATTTTTTCTTACTTGTAATTATCTATATGTATATATTCATACATCTGGCTTCGTATATTATGTATTCTTCACATTATATGGGTCGTTTCATCATTCCATTTATCACTAAACATTTTATACTTAAAGTTAATTAACTCTAGTTTCGTGACATATACGAAACTTTATACAAAACTGATAAGTTGAGACACTATTATAAGATATAGATCATATGTTTTTACTCTTCACAAAAATTAAGATTAAAAAAAGTACATAATTAAAATTATAAATATATAATTTGAGTGTATATATATGTAGTCTTTGATCATCAAAGTCTAATGATAAAGGATTCATGACAGCATTAATTAGCCTGTTTAGAAAGATAGCCATTAATGTGTCAATAGTATGACTAATTATCTGTTATTTCTCTTGCTTATTAAATAGCTCTTGTCAATTTGTGTTTAATATTCTAGTTAATTAGTTATATCATTACTTTTCTATTTTATATATATTGTACATCCTTTTAAGGTATATTAAAATAATAATAAACAGTAAGTAAGATATTTTATAAACATACAACACGCTAAACTAAGTAAGGATTTCATATGAAAACTTCCTTTATGTATAAGATATATCGACTTGCGTGGCATTTTTTGCTGCTGTTTATAGATATCTCTTCCATGAGACTTGTTTACTGCAATTCACTTAAGATAAACAGATCTTCTGATCTATAATACTATTTGTTTAAGTAATGGGAAGATTCAACATCACTTAAACTCTCTTCACAAGAAAGAATTAATCAGTCATCACATCTAAAAGGTTGTTTAACAAATTGAGACATGATTGACATTCTAAGTTATCGCAAACTTAGAAAGACATCTAATTGTCACGAATTGCAAAGTTTGATTTGACTTAGATAAAGATGGATTCTTGCAATCGAAGAAACTAACTAGAGTAATGTTCACCAACCTCTCTACCAGATTTTCTCAATTTAATAATTCAAAAATGGATTCTTGCAATCGAAGAAACTAACTAGAGTAATGTTCACCAACCTCTCTACCAGATTTTTATAATTTAATAATTCAAAAATATACATTGCAATTCTGTGAATTTTTAAATATAGTAATTAAAATGTCATGCTGAGGAGACATAGATTTAAAAAATACTGTATACAAATGTATGTTATAATAATGCATACTAAAACTATTAAATATTGTAAAGCTGTTTATATTACTTTATATATTAGAACATAAATTTTAAAATGAAAACTAATCTGTTAAATTCAGTACACTAAGTATACAGTCAAGTCCAGTTATCAGACCACCGGATAAGGGAGCAAGCAGTTCATATAAGGAAGAACTATTCTATGGAAAACCTATAAGCATCTATTTTTTATTTTATGGTATATCACAGCCCAGGGCTTTTTACACTAGAGTATATTTTATGCTGAGATTTGGTAAAACCTTCTATTGATCACTTTTCTAATACACTGAGAGTCAAAAGATTTTTTACAGAATTATAACGAATAGGTTTATAATATGAGAAGCAATTATTATTAAAAAGGTATCATAAAATATGTATGAATAAGCATAACAGATCACATGTAGCCTACGTTCTCATCTCGAGTGGACAAGACGAAAAGTGATTAGCGACCAGATTTCGAAGGGATCTAAGGTGCCATTGTGATGGCCGGATGGCCGAGGGGTCAAGGTGAGCAGACCACCGCTAAGGATCGAATTTGGACGAATCGAAAAACTGCAGGAATTTTCGGAGAGTGGTCCGTCCCTCAACACCCAGTTACCTTATTGTGGGCCTGGATAAACTTATAATGAACTTGCTAAAAGGCCTTCTTAGTGCCCACATATAATTTATCAGAAGTTGTTAATCAAGCTTTCTATAAAAATCTAGCAATAAGTTGCGTAGCTTTTCCGACTATTATGAAATTTTATTTAAAAATAACTTCTACATTATTAATCATAATAAATAAATTTAATTGTGTGTGGTGCCAGAATATTTTTTCCATTTTTCTTTTTTACTTTTTCGGGTTTAGAAGGTATCAAAAAGTGGAGATTTGCAAAAAAANCTTTTTATCGATAAGTCTATTAGTTGTTGCTACGACTCTATTTATTTATAAATATTTATAAATAAATAGACCTATAAATTCCCACTTTCATTCAGCTGATGCCTGTCTGTCCTTCCTTAATATCGAGAACGATATTAGACAGATGAAAGTAGACTATATTACTATATACTATATACGAACTACGAATATATACTATATACTATATACGAATATACGATTAACTATATAGGAACTTCCGGTCTAGACCTAAAGTCACGTGATTCCAATTCAAAAATTTTCCTCAGAATAGTGTTACATAGATGACTAGCACGACTCTGTTGTTATCAGGAAAAGTGTGATGTACAGGGACAAGACACTACTACTTTGAGATCGAGAGCATATATTTTAAATTAAATAATTTAAATTATGATTGCAGCTCGGCATTATAACGATGTCACAATAATTTTTGCTTGTTGACCAAAAACAATTCTCTATCAATTATTAATTTATTGTATTTTGCATTTAACAATTACATTTTAGTAGCGAAACACGCAACATTTTCCTTATATCTAACAGAGATGGTAAATTATTCTATTCTTATTATAGAGTCATTACAAATGTCTTACTATGTTCTTATTACTCAATTGTTAGAGAGAATTTCTACTATGTAATCACTTAAATCTTACTAAAACCTGTTCTGTATAAGTCAGAATAAGATCTCACTAACGAATAAGCATCATTGTCCTACTATAGTTCCACTAAGTTGGGTCTTACTAGTAATTATCTTACTCTAGTCTCACTAGTATATTCGAATTGTTACTCATAATAATCATCTTACTAGATACAGAATTCGACTTCGTAAGCAATGATTCTCAATGTTTTAAACAGTTACTCGTAAAATTAATTTTAAAAAATGATAAAAGAATAAAAACTTCACGTTTTAAATTATTTAGACAAATGTTTATTAAAATAACTTTAAATTACTTTTAAAGCAATTTTTTAAGTAGAATCTATTGTAATTTTGGACAAGTTAAAATGCCCTGTTAATCATAAATTATCAAAATATTTATGATATTTTTGTGCAGTTATTATTTTAGATTTATAGCATACATTTTCTAAGATTTTTCTTAGGACTTTCGACCTATATTTCTTAGAATTCCAACAGCATATCTAAAAACAATAAAAATTTTTAAATAGAAGTTCAGTAGAGTCTGTGATGCTTACGAAAATTTATTTCAATCGTTGTAATTCTTATAAATAACTTTTAAATGCCATAATTTTTCACTTCTAATTCTTCTAAAGTTGTTTTGAGAGAGTCTACTTAAGTATTAAATATTCCAGACTAAAATTTATATATATATTTCATTCACTCCAATGGGAATGATTTAATGCGTTTTAAAGCAAGAAAACTACAATAAAAATAAAGAAATTTTCATTTCATTAAACTTTATAAATAATTTTACTTATTTAGTACTAAAAACATATATAAATATATTTTTTTCCTAAGTGAAATGCCTTTTAAAATAAGTATTCTCTAGACTACAATTACAATTTCGAACCNGCACAGTGGTCGTAAACTCTTAAATATATTTTACGTAGTAATAAAAATATAACTTGTATTTATAAATAATTTATATTCAAATTACATCATTTCTATGACCAAGGGCGGCGTAAGGCATGGGCAACGTGGGCCACCGCCTATGCCTCACGGTCCGAAGGGCCTCGCTTTTCGAAGGTTTGTCCATTATTTAAAAACCGCGAACGCGAAGAAAAAATTTTACTCGTCATAAAACGATAAATAGTTTGTCAAATTTTTATTCATAAAAATGCAGTTTCAACTGCTTTTTATTTTATAAAATCCGTCTTCTTGCGCTACCAGTGGGCCTTTTAAACAATAGGCAGTCTGTTAGTGCTGGTCAGTAGTAATCCAAATTCAATACGATCGTTTGTTTCTTGAAAATTTGATCACGATTTAAATACAGTATTTACTTTTAATATTACAGATATGTCATCGAAAAGAAAACGTGTTGTATTATCATTAAAAGACAAATTAAAGTATCTGTTTCGATTATCCGGATTTTTCCTTATCCGGACTACCTTCATCGCCAATTAGTCCGGATAATCGAGGTTCTACTGTATTAACATTAACACAAACGTACAGTGGTGTAGCTACAGTTTGTGCCGCCCGGAGAGATCTATCAATTGCCGCCCTTCCTTTGGGAAATATATAATACACATCAAACCTATTTACACACAAGTTTTAATCAGTTTTAATTTGGAAAAACTTTCGCAACTGCCAAAAATGCCGCCCGGAATGGATCGCTCCTCCGCTCACCCCTAGCTAAACCAGTGTACCAGTAAATATGTGCAAATTATACAGTGTTATCAATTTAGTTTATTTGTTAAAAAATTTTATCATATTATCGGAAAACATTATTAAAAACGAACATTTTATTTCTTTTAAAACTGTTTTCGATTTTTTCGGATTATTCAATGTCTAATAATTCACATAATTTATAATGAACCAACACGTATGTAACAATTTATATCGAATTTTTAATGAGATTATTTACAGATCATAAACGCGTAAAGTATTGTAAATGATCCAGAAAATACTAGAAAATTCATGATGAAAATATATTACGCGTTTTTACTTCACTTACTTTGAATCGAAACTAATGATGCAAGACGATAACGCGCGAATTTCTTGTCTTACTAGGCGACCTTGTGCTATTTACAGTGACGTCATGCAGTGACGTCATTCGTTCGATTAACGTTAGAGCAAAGATTTTTAGGATTTTGATAAAATAGCAATTAATACGAAATTTATATTTTATTACAGATAAAACTGTTGATACATAGAATACTGCTCAGTCATTGGTTAACGAAATTAAATTGAAAATTATCCGATTGTTATTGGTGTGACGTATTTTACGTCATTGTTTTCGATAAGCGTTTGTATTGTTTGCCACAGTATATAGGTGTTTTTTAACGTTTACGCTTGTAGAATGTGTTTTGAAAGCGTTATTTTCTGATTATCAGTTATTATGGTGCGAGTGGCCGTTATTGGAATAGGTACTCTAGGAATCAAAATTACAGGTTAGTGTAAATATTATGAAAACGATGTATTATTCTTACATAAACGGAAACACGTTTTATAATTTAAAATAAAATGAAATCGACATAATGTCGATTTCATTTTATTTTAAATTATAACGTGCTTCCGATATTTACAAAAACTTAAAGCGTAGGCGTTTATCATGTACTGTATTGTACTATACTGTAATTGCAGAAAGGCATTCTACATATATATATAAATAAGCAAATAAATATACAATACGAACAAATACAAAACACATATATATTGTTTTCGTATTTTAATTACATTAATTATGCATTTTCATTTTAAAAATTAGCACAGTGAGCGAGATCAGTTTTGTTTCCTGGACTTCAATTTGTTTTCTGTGCGACGTTGCGTGTTTTTTTCTTTAAAAATAGAATAAAAATAGATTTAAATTTCATGTTTCTCGTGATATATTCTGAGGGAGGTTTTACATTTACATTTATAAAATTCAATAACTGTTGTAGCATTTGAAAAATAAAATAACAACAAATGAGAATAATAATCACCAATAATTTTCATTTAAAAGCTTNTATTTTTCTGTATTTTCATTTAAAAGTAAGGTTAAAAAAATTATTGATTTACGTGTTAGTAATTTCCTTCCGCATCGTTTACGATAAATTTTGTTAAGTAAAATGTATTTTTAAATTCTTTTAAAACGTTTTAAAGTTTAAAAATATTTTATTTACAAAATATTTTTTCGAAACTCGTACAAAATATTCGAAAACGTTGCATCAAATCATTCAATATCTTTCGAGACAAGAGTAATCAGGACCAATGTGATCCTCTTTGAATTTACGGGTCCTCCATACTTACAAATTTCGAATGTACGGTAGCTATTCTGTTTGATATCTTGAAAGGTAATAAAATAGAATTGATCTTCGTTCCAAGACTTTCTTTAGAATTTCAACCTTATACGTTGATCCCCGCAATGCATAACGTAGGTAGCTAAACGAAAGTCAGTTATTGAAAATCAATGAATTTTCTTTCCATTCTTCGTCGTGATTTCAAATACCTTTATGCATGGCTAGTGATATCCTTACATCACAACATATAATACAATAGGACACATTCTATTACAACTGTTGGGTTCTAGATATATCTACCGGAACAGGAGTCTTCATAAAATAAGAGACTTTCCATCTGCTGTGAGTGTTCTTTCATCTGAAACAATTTTTTTTCCTTTCTTTACATAAATTTAAAATATATATATCTGCTGACGAATTATTCGGCCTAACATTGTTTATTCTACAAATAATTTATTGTTATTATTGTTATTTATATTTATACGGGACGAATAAATTGCTATGTTGATGGTAGTAATCTCATGCTAAATACCATTGCTTAGCGTATGTAAATAAATAATTATTTAGAAAAATCTAAATTATATATAAATACTGATTAGAAGTTATAGATGTAAACTTTTTAAATTTATTTTACTAAATTCTTAATTATTAGAAGCAATAATAATTTATAAATCATTAGATTTATAAGAGCTTATTTCTTGTATTTTCAATTATATATATAAAGCTTATAAATAGTTTATATATATAAAAAATAGTGTTTTAAGATGTTATTCAGTTTAAAATATATAANCCTTCACACTCCTGTCATCATCACGATGTTTATGTTATAATCCTGTAATGTCCTGTCATCATCACAATAACGTTTCATTCAATTCCAACGCCTCTTTCTTTCTTGGTGCGTTATTTTGTTAAAGAATTGTATATTTAAGAAAATTGCATAGATCGAGAGATATGTGAGAAAATATAATTTTAATTTATGTGAAAATAGAAAGTAAGATTGAAATACAAAGTGATCAAAAAGACACAGTACATCTATATTACAAACTTACAATGTAGGTGTACCGCGAGTTTCTGATCTTACAGTAAATATCTAGAAAATGTTTATTAGTAAATATATTTTAACATAATACAAAAATTAGATTACTTATTTAATCTATTATTAATGAATAGTCAGATTAATTTCTGTTTTTAGCCTATTCTGACAGAAAGTAGAAATTTCAGAGTATGGTAGAAGGAAATTTCTTTAACAAAGAATACAGTAAAATCTTGGTATCTGACATGTAAGGGACCAGAACAATGTTGGATTGAGGAAATTGCCAGAATATTGGAAGTGAATTCAGTGGTATGTAAACAAGTTTAACAGCACAGAGTCAACTGTTAATGATACAATAAAATGCAAGTTGGACTACTGATCAAAACTGATTGCTGGTAATTCTGTTGTCAAGTTAGTGGATTCCCACTAAATTTAGTAGGAAATTGAAGTGACCATGGAAAATTTAGAGCTAATATAATGAATGTAACAATCTTTAATATCAATCCGAAGCTTGAGTGTTCAACCATGCTCAATATGTTTAATGGAGAAAGTATTCTATTTATAAGGAACTGGGGTTTAAACTAATGAGAAGCTTCTCTACAATTTGACAACAATGCTGGTAATATGTAAGAGTTGACAGTTTTAGATTACTGGATATGTCAAACTAGTAAATGGCTTGATTACTAAGATTGTACTGTAATTCAGTTTAATTCAATTAAAGTATGGAAATAAACATTTCTCAGCAAGAATAAGGTGATTAAATAAATGCAGTAACTATTTCTCACTGGTAGATGTATGATTTAGATTGTTAATTATTAGGGCCAAACAAACTGCAGATTATTAATTGAGCTGTAGCAAGACTAATTATTAGGCCCCATGTTATAACCAGCTTTTCATGTGGCCTGCTCAAGATTTTACTTTTAATCCTCCAGTTTTGGAAAAAAAAATTAAAAAAAAAAAAAGCAAATACAAATGAAATGGTAAGTTAATTTTTAACTTTAACCAAAACTTTAGGAAATTGGCCCCATCACAGCAAAAATTAAAAGTTGAAAAGCAAATGAATACTAATCATTTTTTGATATTCTATTTCAAATTTGATATTCTTTTGTCATGGGTCCTGTGCCTGTGCACCCATTATACCTGCCTAGTTTTGGCACTGATTAGGCCTATAACATTTAAATTTATTAAAATTTAAATAATAAATTTTCAGTCGGAATATGCCATTAAACTTTTCAAGAACTTTAACTCTTTAAAACTAAATCAACCAAAATTGGCTTAATTTGTTCAAAATTAAATCAGCCAATGGAAAAGTTATTTGACTGCTTTTGCTATAGATGCTCCCTTTGTAGCCTGAGGGATAAAAACAATTTAGTCTCTAGGCACTTAGAAAGAAGAAATTTTCAGAGCTTAAAGCTTAGTTCACACTAAGCACGATTCGCTCTGTTTTTTGCTTTCGCCAGCGAATTGCGCTCAGTGTGAACTAGTGTTACCACCTGTCTGGTTTTCACCCAGACAGTCCGGAAATCGACTCACTGTCCGGGTGAACTATTAATTTTGTCCAGGAATATCATGCGCAACCTGTCGACCCTTTTTTTTTTTTTCTTGCTTCTACAATTCGTATTTGTACACGTCTCCAATATTCAATAGAGCTCAGTCATCTGTAGTTGTTTTTTCTTAATTTAATTACTTACGTTACTCCTACCCAAGTCTCTGTAGTCCCTAACTGTAACTGATTTAGAACCAGCATGCACTGCACATTATTCTTCTCCTTGTAAAATGACATTGTGCATGCGTCAGGAACTTCTCTTTGAATAAACCTCACCTGCCGTCCGGTCAGCGATTTTGGAAAGGTGGCAACACTAGTGTGAACTAAGCTTAAGAGTTAAAAAGTAATTGAATTTTGGATTTTTTGAGTTCAAAATAATGTCAAACAAATCCATGCTTTGTAACATTATGTGACTCAACTTTTTATCCTATTATTGTAGCCATACTATTATAGCATATTACTTGTCAGCTAGATTCAAAGGCAGTAAAGGCATTTGTCTGTTGCTCTGGATGACCAGGATTAAATCTGAATAAGAAACTAAAAATTTTTCATAAGCAGTTGTTCTGAATATGTTGGGCCCTGACTTATCTGCTGAACCCAAGATGGCTATTACAGAATCATTCTTAGTGTTCACAGAGTGAAGAGTTAAAAAATAAGCATTGATTATTTGCTGTTTCATTTCTGTTCCCAAGTAGATCACCTAATTTAAGATAGCAAAGTTGTGATAAAATGAGCACTTGTACAAATTACAGTAAAAGTAAACTGCTACCATTCTCTGACTGCATGAAAATGACATCTCAGTGAGCAGGGCTAGTTTTGGACTGTTAACTGCCTGCATGCCAGAGATATTTGGCTGCCCCTATCAATGCTGTAAATTCAAAATCTAAGCCAATGCATGAGAGCCTACTAACATATTGAGAAGGGTAAAAAAANCAAGTTATTCGCTCTGTTTTTCACTTTCGCCAGCAAATTGCAATCAGTGTGAACTAAGCTTAAGAGTTAAAACTAATTGAATTTTATATTTTTTTGAGTCCAAAATAATGTCAAACAAATCCATGCTTTGTAACATTATGTGACTCAACTTTTTATTCTATTATTGTAGCCATGCTATTATAGCATATTACTTATCAGTTAGATGCAAAGGCAGTAGAGGCATTAGTCTGTTGCTCTGGATGACCACAATTAAATCTGAATAAGAAACAAAATTTTTCATAGGTAGTTGTTCTGAATATGTTGGGCCCTGACTTATCTGCTGAACCCAAGATGGTTATTATAGAATCATTCTTAGTGCTCACAGAGTAAAGAGTTAAAAAATAAGCACTGATTACATAGTATTTGCTGTTTCATTTCTGTTCCCAAGTAGATCACCTAATTTAAGATAGCAAAGTTGTGATAAAATGAGCATTTGTACAAATTACAGTAAAAGTAAACTGCTACCATTCTCTGACTGCATGAAAATTACATCTCAGTGAGCAGGGCTGGTTTTGGACTGTTAGCTGCCTGCATGCCAGAGATATTTGGCCACCCCTATCAATGCTGATTATGAGTAAATTCAAAATCTATGCCAATGCATGAGAGCCTACTATTGAGAAGGGTAAAAAAAATCCATTAAAATATTTGATATATATTTATTTTAATTTTATTCAAATCAAGACTCCCCATAGATAATATGAGCCTTTGTTCAAAGTTATATTTCTGCACCGCCATAAAATAGAAGTTGCAAATTAAACTGAAATTAATTTAAAGAAATTTTTCTTATTTAGTATATAAATATAATGCATGTGTAGCCTATATAAAAATTTATTTAAATATGAATATTTAAATTAATAACAATGGTTTGTTTATTTTAATTGGGCTGCAATTTGGGAAAATTGTAGACTTAAAATTTCCACTGTCATCCATCCATTTGTCTGTCCTTCCTTAATCTCGAGAACAGAGTTAGATACATGAAAATAAAGAGCTTAGGGGCAGGATGTCCCAATTAACTATACATAATTCAAAAAGTTCTACCCAGAAAGGAGTTAGATAATGACTGGCAGGAGTCTGCTGATTATTATATTTACAGTATGAAAGATTATTTTTTTAGTGCACTATTGGCTGTCAGCATGTATGCATACACTGCATACCTACCAAAGCCAGCCTGTCAGTGAGGAATCTGATTGAATTAATAAACCAGACAATATTAAAAAAATATATAAAAGTGAACTAAAAAAATGTTTTGAGTACAGTAAATTTCCTTATTTTTATTTGTAAAGAAATTTTATGAATTAATTTACCATAAATTTGTTTTTCTGGTGAGAATTTTAAAACTGATGAATGACTGAGGTGAGCATACCAGTTAACTTTTTTCAAGAAAATAGAATTAGTTACATTTAATCATTAATTTGACTTGAAATTAGATTCCAGCACATTTATTAGATTAGATTATAATAAATCTATTTAAATAAAACAAAGAAATGAAATGAAAATAAATATTTTTAAATGACAAAGTATAAATTTTTTATAATTTAATCATAAGTTATAAGTAATACAAATAGTATGTATAAATTTGAAGTAAAAAAAATTTAATATTTTAAAAGTTATATTGGCATTTTTAACATAATTACTAATTTTGCTAAAAATTAGATAAAATAATCAGTCTAAAATATTTATTTAAAATTTTCATGTCATAAACAATAAAAGTATTTTGAATTTAGGAGAACTTGCATATCATGGGCATGAAGTTCGTCTTTATGACCAAAATACAGAAACATTGGACAGAATACATTTAAGATTAAATGAAGATAAACGAATGCTTAGAGAAGATGGTCTTTTAACTCAGCCAGATTTTGTGGTTTGTTCATAACTTTTTGTTACTTTTTAAACTTCAATTAAATAAAATAATTAATATAATTCATTACAAATAAAGGTATGATTAATTTGATGAATTATTTAATAGCCTATATGTTACCATATATTTGTAATCATTTAATTTAGCTCATATTGGTTTTTTCCCCCTTAACTTTATAGCTTTTAAATGATAGTTAAAAATTTATTTGAAATTATTATTTCTTTTAAAATTAATGAAAAGTTATTCGATTTAAAATTATTTTACACCATCATGCTATATGTATAATAAAATCTCAATAATTGCATTCTTGATAATTGCATGGAGATTCATAAATTCTGTTCTTTCTGAATTCAGTTGTACAAATCTTCCTCTAGCTGAAGATAATCAGTTTTTTTTTTTTTTCTTTCAGTTTCAACTAGATGTAAAAAAGCATGTAGCTGTTAGCAGTTTGCCTTTTTCTAGAAATTCCTAAGACTGTATTATAATCAATTCCAAATGCTTTGACAAAACTGATTTTTAACTTCATCAAATCTCTTCAGAACTTTTTTTTGTTGATGGAAATATCATATTTCTTTTGTACTGGGGCCTTGTTGTTTCTTTTTCTGGTGTATTGCTCCAGACTAAAGCTATAGAAGTAGCTAAAGTAAAAGAGAGAAGATTTGAAGGTTTTAACTAATTTCAAAACTAGATTCAATTTAGCAACAAATACTCTAAATGGAAAAGAAGTTTCAGTTGATATTGAAGTAATTTATAAGTTGAAAGCATCATTGAAAGAGACTGTAGATAGCTATCAACTAAACAATATTTATAATGTCAATGAGAATGTTCTGTCATCTCATATGTGAGCAGTAAAAGGAGAAACTTTTCCATGACAGTGACATCACACATTTTTCATGACTGGCTGAAAGCATTCATTGTAGAAATGCATTGTTGCAATAGGAATATTCTGCTCTTTTTGGATGTATTTTCCAGCCATAAAGCACATATTGAATTGTCTAATATCAATTTAGTGTTTTTTCCACCAAATAGCACTTCTCTCCAGCCAGTAGATCTGATTATAATTTCGTATTTGAAATATACATGTAGAAAGTTTTTTAATTCAATATCTTATAGGAGAAATTGAAACAGGTTCAGAATGTAGAAAAGTGGATGTCTTGTGAGCTTATGATATAATCAAGAAAGCTTAGGATCTTAGGTTCTGCAACTACGGAGGAATAACTTCATGAAAGCTAAGATTTTATCTCATAATGTATATAATTTCTGACAAATCAGAAAATCTGATTGAAGAACATGAACCAACTGAATGTCATATGTAAAATGCCCAAATTATTTTGAAACTGATGAAATGCTTTATATTGGTGAAGACAGTACAGGTAACAAAGCTGATAACACATCTGATAATGATGATAAGACAGACAAAATTGAAGGTATCCAACAGTTAGACACCCAATTAGAAAAACTGGCTCTTCTACATCTGGCATTACATTACTAGATTTACCTGTCTCTTTTAAGTAGTACACCAAAAATCAGTCATGCTCCAGCTGATATATACAGCTTGCACATAAGGAATGTAACAGTATTATGAAATGAAAATTTATTTCTGATCACTTAAAGCAGCGCTGTCCAACTTATCATAGNACAACAAACATTAAGATTATTAGATTATTTTGTATTTCTAATCCTTTTATATTATATAATAGTATTTGATTTATATAACTACAAAGGTTATTTTACATAAGTGCTTATCACATCAAGTGACCGATCTAATACATTTTAAAAATTCTTTAAATTGTGTATAGTAGAGGAATAAAGTATAGAGTCAGTTCTTTTCTGCCAGATGATTCTAAATTATTTAATAAATTATTAAAATTATAATTATTAATTTAGTTAAGAGTCACCTAACATCTACTTTTAGTAGCAAATTACTTAGTATTAATCATCAAATTAGCAGAGTTATAGCCCAATTATTTAAGGTGATCATTTGGTTATGTTTCTTTATACATATCAGGTTTTGCAATGTTTGATATACTTATTAGAATTAGTTTGGTTTATTTGGTTATGGCATGTGAGTGATCTATCAAGGGGGCTGCATCCCAGGAAGACATTTTTGTGACGCTAGTCTCTATTCAGGTGTTGCTAACATGAAGAACACCCAGAAAACTATGTGGCCAGCCTGTTGGCCATTCCTGAACCCACGACTGACTACCAGTGTTTGGTGGTTTTATCCATTTGGCTTCTGGAGGGCACTTATTAGAATTAATAAATTACCATTCAGAAATGAAAAAATCCAAGTCATTAGATGTGGAAAATTAAATACTTATAGACTTTTCACAGGGTAACAGTTTTGATTCCATGCAGGCAAGTGCTATGTACTACCTGTTGCAGTACTGATATAGTGCAATGGTTCCTAAACTTTTTTGATTTGCGGCACTCTTGCTAAATCCAGATTTTCCCAAGGTGCTCTATGTCAAATTCTAACAAGTACAATTTGCGAAATAGCAAAATAGCCAATATTTTTTTAAATTAAAGAATTAGGATGTTAAGTAAAAAATAAATAAAACACGTATTTAAGATGATGATAAATATAATTGAACAAATTCAATTAATTATAATTAGTGGGATGGATGAGCCTGTTGATCACTGCACATTTTCTCAAATCTTGGAATCACACTGGACACAGTCACCCTCATTTCCTTCTCCACATAGATTTTTGTGCAATGCTTAGTTTTTATCACAGTGACAAACTCAGCTTCACACAAATAAGAAGTCACAAATGGAATTAAGATTCTCTGAGCTTTACCATTCAGAAGATATATTCATCTTTTATTGATATCCAAAATTCAGTTAATTCCATGCTACTAAATTTTGTTTTCAACGTATTGTCAGGAAGACAAGTAAATAAGATTCTCTCCTTCTGCAGCAGTAAATTCAGATGAAGGATTGACATTAAATGGATCTTAAATCCATGTTAATTTATTGCTATTACCATTTTAAAAATATTTCTTAAACCAGGTGATAAGCTCTGATATATGTTCTTCAAAAACAGATTTCATACCTTGATAGAAATCAACTCCATTTGGAGGTCAAAAACTGTTGCAACAAAGGGAAACATTCTTTTCCTCTGTCTTCATTTATTTTTCTTTTTCACAGTTTTAACTTTTTTATGAAAGCTGAAATTTTCTCAATCGACTTTAAAAGATGCATATTGCTTCCCTGCAGGAAGAGATTCAGAGCATTCAGCCTTTCAAAAATATCATATACGAATGCTAGTTTTATTAAAAAATCTTCAAATAAAATTTTCAGCATACTTATGGTCTTTAAGAAAAATATAAATTTCCTGTCGCAGTACAAATGTATGAGACAAAACGTTACTTCAAGAGAGTGATTGCTCTCTTATGGTAATGTTTTTTGCTTTCTCGAAATGCTGTAGTATAACAAAGACGTGTTCTCAGATCCCATTCCTCACATAGATAATTTTTTAAAATTATATTTTAGAATTTCTTATTATGGCTAGTTCAATGAAAAAATTGAAATTATCAGAAACAGGTAGTAGCAGAGAATTTCAAACTTGATGGACCAATAGGTACAGTATGGTACGGTATGATTAATAAGGACAGTACAGCTATTTGCATTTTATGTTCAGGAATGGTGGTTTGTAGAACATCATCAGTAAAGCGACATTATGAAACCAACAACAAATCTCTTCTCAATCGAAGTTAAGAAGAGCAAAAGGAGTATATATCACATGTTTTCAAAAATAAAAATGCCCAAGCTATATCCTTAATGAGATATATACTCAATTAAATACTACTGCTGCTAGTTATCAAGCTTCAAAAGCTATTGCTCAATATGGAAAAACTTTTAATGAAGATCATTTTTTAAAGGAAGCTTGGTTGCAATGTCCACCTTACTTATTCGAATATTTCGAAAATAAAGAAAAAATTATCCAAAGAATTAAAGATATACCATTAGCTAGGAATATGGTGAAAGAGAGAATTTTGGGAATGGTGGAAAATGNATTTCTTATTATGGCTAGTTCAATGAAAAAATTGAAATTATCAGAAACAGGTAGTAGCAGAGAATTTCAAACTTGATGGACCAATAGGTACAGTATGGTACGGTATGATTAATAAGGACAGTACAGCTATTTGCATTTTATGTTCAGGAATGGTGGTTTTTAGAACATCATCAGTAAAGCGACATTATGAAACCAATAACAAATCTCTTCTCAATCAAAGTGAAGAAGAGCAAAAGGAATATATATCACGTTTTCAAAAATAAAAATGCCCAAGCTACATCCTTAATTAATGAGATATATTGGAACTCAATCAAATACTACTGCTGCTAGTTATCAAGCTTCAAGAGCTATTACTCAATATGGGAAAACTTTTAATGAAGATCATTTTTTAAAGGAAGCTTGGTTGCAATGTACACCTTACTTATTCGAAGATTTCGAAAATAAAGAAAAAATTATCCAAAGAATTAAAGATATACCATTAGCTAGGAATATGGTGAAAGAGAGAATTTTGGGAATGGTGGAAAATGTAAGCTTTCAACAACAAATAGAATTATTTAATAAAAATTTTTCTTTTTTTGTTTATTGAATTATAATAATTTTTTTAAGAGTGAAAGGAAAAGAAAAAAGAAAAAATAAAAATGCAAAAAAGAGAAAAATACAAGAATCATAATTTATGCTAGACAATTTCAGTGTGGCACGTTAATAATTTCATAAAGATTATTTATAAATTTATGGCACGGACAATGAAAAAGGTTCACCATCCCTGTCCTAATAGACTTTGGGTTACAATGTGTTGTTTTTTTAACATTATGTACGTCTTTTTACAAAGTTATATAAATTTTCTTTTATGACTCCATGATTGATTTAACTCAAGAAAGTGAAGAAAGTGAGATAGGTTAAGAGATTTCTATAAAGGCTATAGCTTTTATCAAAAACTATTTATTCATTTCTGTATCTTTCTTTCTCAATTTCATCAGACATCAAATTAAAAAAATTTATTTTTATGTAGCATGCTTATCTTATTAATTTCTTCAAATATTTTTAGATTGAAGATTTAGTTCTAATTCAGTCTATACCAGAAAAAAATTAAGACAATTTATTAAAAATATTTATTTTACAATATCTAAAAAAGTTAATGCATTTTATAGAACAACAAGCCTGT